AGGCATCTGTTTCGGAAGCCTCCTGGTCGCCTCCCTTTGGAAGTGGTTCAGGCATGTCCCATTGGGAGGAGGCCTTGTGGAAGGCCCAATCTGTTGTGGACACGCTGAAGGGACTATATCTCTGGGCTGGCTAAGTGCTGCTTTGGGGTCCCTCCAGAGCAGCTGGAGGTAGTGTGTCTGAATATGGAAGTCTGAACTTCTTTGCTTAGACTGCTGTTTTCTCGACCTGGCCCCGGATAAGTGGAAGAAAATGAATGGATGGTTGGATGGATATTGCACAAGTTTTTGCCATTGTAGTCTAGCATTGTGTAGTCTAATCGCAGCATGGGATGAATGACCTGCCGTAGCGCTCCTTTTTACAAACAGGGTGTAAAAGTCTCTTACCAAAGGAGCTGCTCAGCTCCTCTACAGTGTAGTGCAGAGGGTGGAAGGTATTGTCCATGACGGATGTATGCTTGGACAGCACACTCCTCTCAGCCACTTCCTTTACCGAGTCCAGAGTGCAGCCTAGGACAGAAACTGCCTGTCCAGTCCAGTTGATTATTGATGTTAACACCCAGGTGAAACAGTTTCTATGTCCTGCCCCTGGATGTTCACAGGGGAGAGAGGTGGGGTCTTCTCCTGAAGCTGATCACCATCTCTTTGGTCTTACTGGTGACATAGAAAGGTATTGGATATTACAGGCTAACAAAGAACTCAAATGACCCCCAAAGGGGTGGACCCGTTCGTCCCGTTCAATTTGCATGTTTTCTAACAAAGTGTTTTTGGTCCACTCTATAAAGCCTGAAACTCAATACTATTTCTGACACTTCCTGTATGGATAGCAAACTTGAAAACAAAGTCCAGTGGATCGTTTTCCTTTTTTTTTCTTTTTTGGAATCTTCTTGGTTACATATTTGAGGGGAGGGAGCTTTTTACTGACCCCGAAAAGTCATAGAGTGGCCAAATTACAGATAAATATGGGAAAAAAATCCCAATTCTGAGATTAAAGTCAGAGTTCATTTTCTCCAAATAAAACTAAAATGAAATAAAAAATCCTTTTTTTTTTTTCCAGTGGCCTTAATTATTTTCCGTAGATCCGGCATTAACCTTGACCTTAATCCTAAATCTTGGGATGTACTTAGGAGTTTAGCAAGACTCTTTAGCTGTTCAAAGAAGACACTGTTTTTCTGATTTCTAAGATGGCACGGAGTGTTTATGNTCCTAAATCTTGGGATGTACTTAGGAGTTTAGCAAGACTCTTTAGCTGTTCAAAGAAGACACTGTTTTTCTGATTTCTAAGATGGCACGGAGTGTTTATGTGTCAGCCTCAGTTTCCAAACACTTCCCTCCTTACTGCTTTAGATCTCAGCTTTAAGAAAGTGATGTTTCTACCCCCTGATGAGGCCTTTAAGATTCAAGACATGGAACAGGTGATGGCACTTGACATGAAAATGATGTTAAGGTTTTACGCTTGTGAAATCACTTTATTTCTCATCTGTTTTGCACTTCCAGAAAAATACTTCAGACTTAAAACTAAGGGGAATGTTTGAATCTTAAGTGATAATCTGATTGAATTTTCTCTGCATTTTCTGTTAAATATATTTCTACTAGATTCATCTCCAGAAGAATTAAAAGGTCTCTTGATTGCTAAAATATTTTACTTTATGATGGTTCAACATGTGGGAAATCACAAAGGGATATGAGATAATACCGTAATATGAAAACAGAGAACAGAGAGGGTACAGTTTCAAGGAGTTTGTGTTGTACCTTAAAATCTTGCATAAAAACAATATAAGTATAATTTGACCCTTGACCCATCTAGAAGAATTCTGTTTTATTTAAATAGAAATATGCTTTTTATAAATGTTAAAAAAAATCCAGAATACATTATGCAAGTGTAGCTATTTTTCTTATTACCATTTTCACTTCATAGTTAGCTTGTTTTCAGATAGCTCTTTTAAAAAGCCTTGTTATTAATGCTAAGACAAGTAAAATCGGCCAAACCTTTGATTTGTTTTTTATTTGGATTTTGAAGTTGCCGATGCATTCTTTTTAATTTCATACTTGAAAAAAGGAACTAAATAATTTGCATTCTTTCCACCTTCTACTCTTGGCAGCACAGGGGGATACACACGTACGTTCGGCTCCGTAAACAGTTTCTCAAAAAGCAAAACAATCTTTGAAATAGGAATTTAAAAGAATGACTTTGTACTTTTACCTTCTGATTGGCTAAAACCAAACTTTGGTAGGCGGGCAATAGGTGTTGCTTGAAAAGTTCAGTTTAGGCAACTGGACATGACGTTTCCTAGAAGAAGATTCGCCTCTCATCCAAGAGGCTTCTTCAGTTCTAACTATTGGTGGGGAGCAACGAGATTAATATAGTGTAGGTGGAACAAGGAATTAGGGGAAACAAAAGGTGGCTCCGATCCCTCCTACTGGATTGGCCATTGAGG